ATGTATCTGCAGCAAATAGGGCACCAGAAGCAGCTCCCAGAGAGCCCAGCTACAGGGCTGTTGCCCAGCGCAGCAGCTGAAGGAACCTAAGATGATCATAGCATCATAGGACATTAGAGCTGGAAGGGATCTCATCAAGGTCATCTAGTACAGTCCCTAGATCCTGCTCAGGACAGGAACATCCCTGACTTCCAGGCAAGCAGCCATTTAACCTGCTCTTGAAAACGTCTAAAAATGGAGATACCACAGTTCCTCAGGGTAGCCTGTTCTAATGTTTTATCACTCTCATAGTCAGTATATTCCTTCATATCTCCACCCTAAATTTCCTCTGAAGCTTGAGACCATGGATGTGGGGAGAACAGTGGATATGATATACCATAGATCCTGTCATATCATAGGAGAAGATCAGGTTAGCTAGGCATAATGTGCTCTTGTCGAATCCATGTTAGCTGTTCCTTATTGCCTTGTTCATCTCTAGGTGTTTCACGATGGATTCCTTGAGGACCTTCTCAGTGATCTTTGCCATTATAGAGGACAGGCTGGCTAGTCTGTTGTTCTCCATTCCTTCTTCTTCCCTTTCTTAAAGATGGGCACTGTATTTACCCTTTTCCAGTCATCTGGGACCTCACCTGACAGCCATGAGTCCTCAAAGAGGATAGCCAATGGCTCAAAAATTACCACAGACACTTCCTTCAGTACCATAGGGTACATCCCATCTAGCCCTGTTAACTTGGAAGCATCTAGCTTCTCTAAGTAATCTGTAACCTGTTCTTCCATTACTCTAGGCTGTTTGTCTCTTTCCCTATCTTTGCTGACAACTGTCCTCATCAACTGGGAGCTGCTCTTATTTATGAAAATCAAAGTAGAAAAAGGTACTAAATACTGTTGTTCCCCTTACTTTTGACATAGTTGTAGAATCGCTTTTATTGCCTTTTATATCCCATGACAGATGCACCTCAAATTATACTTTGGCCTTCCTAATTTTCTGTCTGCGTGCCTGTGTACTACTCATACATTTTTTCCTAGTACCATGACCAATTTTCCACTTATATATATAGAAACAGAGATGGATAGATAGATATAGTTTTGAGTTACAGCTCATTGAAAAGATTTCTGTCTGGCCAGGCTTGTCTCTTGTTGCATTTTCCATTCTTCCATCCCATCTGGACAACTTGTTTCTGTGCCTTTAAAAGAGTACCACTGTCTTTCCTGGACTCCTTTTCCTCCTCAGACTTGCCTCCCATGGGATCCTGCCCACCAGTTTCCCAAGTTTATTAAACTTTGCCTTTCTGAAATGTAGCATTCTTAGTCTGATCCCACTGGCTTTCCTCAGGTTCAAGTGTCCAGCTAGGCTCGCAGCAACTAGTTTGAATCTTGCTGGTATTCTCTTGGTCAGACTGGATAAATCCCTCCTTTGTCTGGGCTGCCTCTGCTTCTCTCAAGGCTACCCTCAGCTTAGTGGGTGTGCTCTTTTCCTCTTCCTGGGCTGGCTTGACTGCCCATCTCCTGGGAGATTACCCAGCTTGTTCCTTGCCCTCTTGCTGGTGGGGTAGCGGCATGTGATCCCCACAATCCATTGTTACTTATCTCTCAGGACATGCTGGAGGGCTGTCCTTTGCTCATCGTTTTGGCTGGCTGGGTCCCTAGCTTTGCTGATTGTCCTCCAGGTCCAGCTGTGCAGTTGTTGTTCCTGGAGATGCTAAATGCTGTACCAGCTCAGGCTTCCTCCCAGGCCAATCAGTGCCAGCTCTCCAGGGCACATGTTCTCCAGTTCCAGATACTTGCGTGTCACTCCAGTTTTCCCCCTGGACCTCTTCTGTGGTGTGTCAAGGAAGCACTGTTTGCCCAGACCCGGCCAGGTACATTTCACACTGGTGCTGCTGGCCCTACAGGGGTGTATATGGCAGGGGCTGCGTCTGAGCCCTTGCTACAGTCCTGTATTCTCACTGAGAACATTGCTAAGTCTTCCATTATTGCTTCCCTTTACTAATTTTTTTTATCCAGGTCCACAGGCACTTTACTTACCTCTGGACTTTTTTCTCCTTTCCCCAGTGAAGCTAGTTTAAAGCCCGCATCCCTCAGTTGGTTTGCATGCCTGTGTGAGAAGATATTTGTCCCTCTCTTTGTCAGGTGGACCTAATCTCTTCCCAGCATTCATCTTCCTAGAAAACCACCCAATGATCAAAGAAGCCAAAGCCCCACTGGCAATACCATTTACCCAACCTCATGTTTATCTCCAGAATGCATCTGCTCCTAGCTGGGCCTAGATACAGGATTGAATCTTGCTGCCCAGATGCTTCCTCTTCTGGGTCAGGGGTTTGGAAGTGGGAGTGGGGGGTCAGCTGACCCTGACTGGCCACTACAGTGGCAGGGAGTGGACATGTGACTAGGCCCAGGTGAAAGTTCTGGCCACCTGTGTCCACTCCAGTGCTCTACTGAGGCGACAGGAGACCAGGATGAGTGGTTATGCCGGGTAGGCCAAGGCCCCAGGTTCAAGACCACAACTTGACACCACCACTATCTATTGCTTCCTTTTTGTAGCAGTGGTCTCATGTTCCCTGGGGATGCATGGCTTGGTTTTCCCTGCCACTGTAGTGGGCTCCTTCTCCTCTGATGCAAGGCCTCCATACCTGTTCCAGTTGGATAGCCACAGGTCCAGAAGAAGAGCACTGTCTGTTGCCAGAGGTGACAAGCTGCCAGTTTCCCCCTGAGAACCTGCATCTTTTGCAGCTTCTGGTGTCTTCTCTGACTGTCTTTCTTGCATAATGCTGGGTGTATCTTTGTGGGCAGGATGGTCAGTGGAAGCCTCATGCTCTCAGATGCTTCTGAACCTATCCACCTCCTCCTGCATCTCCCATATCTGATTCTTGAGAGAATCCACCAGGAGGCACCTCTCATATCATAAGTATTCCCCACCTGGCCGTCCCTAACAAAGACACAGTCCCTGCAATGCTAGGTCAGAACCTGTGTGGAAGCCTCAGTGAGGAGATGAGACTACTACTCAAAAAGGAAGCAATAGATGGTAGTGATGTCAAGCTGTGGTCTTAAACCTGAGGTCTCAGCCTACCTGGCATAACCACTCATCCTGGTCTCCTATCTCCTCAGTAGAGCATTAGGGTGGACACAGGTGGCCAGAACCTTCACCTGGGCCTAGCCACATGTCCATTGCCTGCCACTGTAGTAGCCTGTCAGAATCAGCTGACACCCCCCCCCCCCCCCCC